AGCAACCCTTTTAGCAGCGCTTTTAAGATTTTTTTTTTAAATTTATATGACTTTAGACAGCACTTAGGATAAGCGCTGGCTAATGTGGTCCTTTACCAGCGCTTTTTTTAAGCGCTTTCTAAAGCAACCCTTTTAGCAGCGCTTTTCAGAAGCGTTGTCTAAGGTCGGCCTTTTAGCAATGCTTTTACTCATTTTCGTATACAGTTTCCATGTTTTATTTTTTAATTTACTTATAGCAGCGCTTTTGTATGTGTGCTGTCTAAAGGACTTTTTGGCGTAGTGTTGACTGAATATGATATCCAATACACTGCACAAAAGGAAATCAAAGGAAGTGCATTGGCAGATCATTTGGCCCATCAAGCTGTTGACGACTACCAATCTATAAACTTTAAATTCCCTGATGTGAATATCATGCTACTAACTGACTGCGAAAAGCCTGGACCGTATGACGGACCTGAACAAGGATCCCGATGGACTATGGTTTTTGATGGAGCTTCCAATGATTTGTGTAACAGAATTGGTGTTGTGATTATTTCTCTCGAAGGTTTCCATACACCTTTCACGGCTAGATTGTGCTTTGACTGTACGAACAACATGGCTGAGTATGAGACGTGCATTTTGGGTCTAAAGGTTGCCATTGACCTGAGGATCAAGTTCTTGGATGTATACAGAGATTCTGCTCTAGTAATCAGTCAAGTCAAGGGAGAGTGGGATACCAAAAATCCTAATTTGATTCCTTACAAAGAGCTTGTGCTAACTTTGATCCCATACTTTGAGGAGGTTACTTTTGAACACTTTCCAAGAGAAGAAAATCATTTGGCTGATGCTTTGGCAACAATTTCGTCCATGTTCAAGGTCGATTGGGACAACGAGGCTCCTAGAATCACAATTGAAAGATTTGATGAACCAGCACACTGTTGCGAGCTTGACACGGACGAAGAGAAGCCTTGGTACCATGAGGTGAAGAGATATCTTGAAGAACAAGAGTATCCAGAAGAAGCTTCCATCAATGATAAGAAATTTTTGCGAAGATTTTCGGCCAAATTCTTCCTAAGCAATGGAGTCTTGTACAAACGCAACCATGATTCTACTCTACTCCAGTGTGTAGACAAGAAGGGGGCAAAGGAGATCATGGAAGACATGCATGATGGTATCTTTGGGACTCACTCTAGTGGGAACACTATGGCCAAGAATATTCTAAGGGCTGGTTACTATTGGTCGACAATGGAAACTTATTGTCACCATCACTCGAGGACTTGCCATAAGTGTCAGATCTATGCCAACAAAGCTCACGTGCCTCTGATACCTCTAAATGTCATGACTGCTCCGTGGCCATTTGCAATGTGGGGCATTGACATGATTGGAGAGATCAAACCTACTGCTTCCAATGGACACAATATTTTATCCTTATTGCTATCGATTACTTCACCAAATGGGTCGAAGCTGCCTCATTTTCCTCAGTCACAAAGAACGTTGTAGCCCGGTTTTTCAAGCATAACCTCATCTGCCGTTATGGTATCCCCAAAAGGATCATCATCGACAATGGAACCAATCTCAATAATGTTATGATTATGGAACTTTGCACTCAATTCAAAATCAAGCTTCATAATTCTTCTCCATACAGGCCTAAGATGAATGGCGCAATGGAAGTTGCCAATAAAAACATCAAGAAGATTGTGCAAAATATGGTGGTGACCTACAAAGATTAGCATGAGATATTACCATTTGCTCTTCATGGCTACCATACTTCGGCTCAAACGTCAACTGGGGTAACTCCTTTCTCTTTAGTCTATGGCATGGAGGTCGTCTTGCCTATTGAATTTCAAATCCCTTCCCTAAGAATCATGAAAGAAGAAGACCTAGGAGAAGATGAATGGATTCAGACTAGGTTGGATCAGTTAAACTTGATCGACGAGAAAAGAGTGGCTGTTGTTTGTCATGGACAAATGTATCAAAAGTGTATGATCAAGGCTTTCCACAAAAGGATTAAGCCTCGAGTATATCAGACTGGTAACTTGGTAATAAAGCACATCATTCTCCCACAAGGCGATCCCAGGGGCAAATTGACTCCCACATACGAAGGGCCATTTGTGGTTAAGAAAGTTTTCTCCGGTGGTGCCATGATGCTGACTACTATGGATGGTGAAGATTTCCCACATCCTGTGAACGCGGACATAGTTAAAAAATACTACGCATAAAACGACCCGCTAGGTTGACATACCTAGGCAAAAATAAGGGCATCCTGGCGAACTAAAGAGGTTCGGGCAAAAATTAGGGATATATGCAAAAGATTGTACACTCAACAAGTCGAAAACCCTAAAGGGCGACTTGGGAAAAAATGGGTATCCTGGTGGACTAAAAACTCGAAAGGGAGGTCCAGGAAAAAGTTAGGGATTAAAGCGTACGACTATGTCCCATGGAATTTCTATAGCCAGTTTATTACCAAAGTCCAAGTTCAATGGTACAAGATCAATCCAATCAACTTCTTTCAACGACAGGGGATGATGTTCGAAGACATAGGGGCAATAGCGGAGTTGGAATACAATGAGATCACTTCCACATGGCTATTATTTTTTCTTTCAGTTTGTACTCTTTTCATTTCTTTCGACGATTTCCTCTTACTAGGATCTCTGTCTCCTTGTACAAAAACGCCTGTTTATAGGAAAACATCAATACAAGTATACTTTGAAGTGCATACTTTTTTTATTTTTCTGTTTTAAGTGCAAAAGCGTCTAATGGCTAAAATTGAATGAACATATGCATACGAACATGATTAACTGTTAACAAAAGTGTGCGTAAAAAGAGTAATAAGTATTTACTTAAAAAACTTGGGATATCCCCACAGAGTTACTTCAATAATTATCCCCACTGACTTGGATTTGTGCAATCCCCGGCCAGAGTTTCAATCTTCAGAAAACCCTCTCCATAGCTGAGTTGGTCTAAAAAAGGGCCTTATGGATTTCTCCCTAAAGGAAACACCTCTCCAGCAGGTCGTCAATTTTCTCTTCAACAGGGTTTATTTCCCCAACAAGCTACAAATTCCCCAGCTTGAGTTTGCTTCTCAGACTATTACAAATTAACAGACGAAACCCCTTAACCCCCGGTAGAGTCATTGCAATCCCTAACAGAGTCGTTACTATCCCCAAAAGTTAATGCAAAACCTGGACCCGACCAGATAACAGTTCAACTTCACCCTTTGAAGCAAGTTACTACAAAGCCTGGAATCTTATTAGATAGCAATTAAACTTCATTCTTTTCATCTAAGTTACTGTGAAGCCTGGAATTCGACCAGATAACAGTTAACCTCAGAAAGTTGTTGCGAAGCCTAGAATCTGACCAGATAACAGTTTAACTTCTTTAATTGATATGAAGCCTGGAATCTGACTAGATAATAGTAAGTTACTACGAGGCCTAGGACCCGGCCAGATAATAGTTCAACTTTATCCTCTCAAGAAAATTACTGTGAAGACTAGACCGACCAGATAACAGTTTGATTTCATCTAAGTTACTGTAAAACCTGGAATCCGACTAGATGTTAGTTCAACTTCATCTCTATAAACAAATTACTACAAAGGTTGTAATCCAACCAGATAATAGTTTAAGTTATTGTAAAGCCTAGAATCCAACCAGATAACAATTTAACTTCTTCAATTATTACGAAGCCTGGAGTCCGACCAGATAACAGTTAATTTCATCTTCCCCAATAAGTTATTGTGAAGCCTGGGATCCGACCAGATAACAGTTAACTTTATTATCCCAAACAAGTTGTTGTGAAGCTTGGATCCAACCAGATAATAGCTAACTTCCATTCTCTCCAATCAAGAGATAACTCCCCAGTAGAGAAATGAACAACTAAAACTCCTGAACTCTTTCCCCCAAACAGAAATCAACACTCTCCACAGAGTTTCCCTAAAGAAAAGTCAATGTTCCCCATCAGAGTTTTCCTCAAACAACAAAACAGGAATCCCTGAAAGAAAAACCTTAAACAAAGTTTGAAGATACACATATTCTTCAACAGCAGTCCGGGATTTAACTCCCCAAGGCTCCCCAACATTTGTCAAGGATTTATTTTCCAAGACAAAGATACATTTCAATAATATTTCACATTCATACATCATATTACATGCATGATAAATGCATACAACATAATCTCATTTATTTTGAGAACACCATCGAGCCATGCATACATCTACATGCAACTAACCCTCTTCCTTGCAGGAAAAGTCAATCGACAAAACAAAAGTCCTCTTCTGGGTAGATGCACATCTTCCAGTTAATAATAGGCAAATCAACAGACATCATCTGACTAGATTCACTTCCTCCAGTTAATAATAGGAAACCAACATGCCTCTTCTGGTTAGATTTGTTTCCCCAGTGAAGTCACCAATCAAAGACCTCTTTTGGTTAGATTTACTTCTTCCAGTTAAAGACAGGCGAATGACATCTGCTGTTTTAGTATAAATCAACCAAAGATTTATTCTGATACTTCTCCCAGATAAAGATTTGAAGACATCTGCTAGCTCAGATTAAATCGATCAAAGATTTATTCTGATACTTCTCTCAGTAGACTTTTTTCGACTCAGATTGAATCGACCAGAGATTTATTATGATACTTCTCCTAGCTAAAGTCAAGCTTTAGACTTAGCCCAATTTTTCTACCAATAGTCACTTCTAGATGGCATCTATAAGCCCATCTCCGGTGATTCTAAACCACTTCTGATGGCATCTATAAGCCCATCTCCGACAATATTTTGTCACTCTCCAAATGGCATCTGCAAGCCCATTCCCGATTTAATAAATCCAAAGCATTACTTCTTGCACAAGCGAGTGCAAATTTCTGGGCACTCTAATGTTCAATCATCTTCTACCTTCAAGTCGCGAATGGCAGGCATGCCAATCTAACTCTTCGGCTTTTAGAAGATTGAACGGGGCAGCTTTTATACCCCAAAATTTGCCCTCCCATTTTTTTCATTCAATATGTTCTCTTAGGGTTTCTCAAAATGCTCAAGATGGCTCAGAAGTTGATCAAACAGATTCTTCTCTTAAGCATTGAGTCAACAACTAGGGTTTGGTATTACTCAAGCAAAATTGAGTTTCAAATGGTTTTCATGGTTCTTCATGTACTCTCAAGGATGTTCGTACTAAGTTTCAAGCCTCGCATTGCAAGTTTGCTCAATCAATGGTTCAGATGACTAAAAATCAATTGCAAAAGTCGACCTTTTCAAGATCAAGCTCAATCCATTTTAACTTCTTCATTATTCGATATTTTTGAGTGGTTCTTTTCACGTATGACTCTCTTTGACGTCATCTCCAATTTCTCTTCACAAGTTAAGAGTCGATTGTGTGCGAAAGATCATCAGAAATTTGAATACTTTAGATGTCACTTTCTGGATTTTGACCTAATCTCAAGTAATTGTTGCCCGACATTCAAAAAAATCGTAATTTCCTCAATTTTCAAGATCATTAGACGATTATTTTTGCATATTGTCATAAGGAATGTCATCTACAAATTTCTTTAAAGATCGGAGTCAAATATTTCTTTGAAGGATATGGAATTTATTGAAAAAATTACAGGTCATGTTTTGATGGGATTTTTTTTCAAAAGCGCCATTTGATTATGTGAATTGAAGTACAAGTGCAAAAGTGAAAGATTACTTGAATTTGAGATTTCAATTAAGAATGGATTCGTTATTGTGAAATTTTCTTTCAAGTACCCAATACCATAAAATCAAATATTCAAGTTTGTCAATTAAAATTGCAAGACTGATTCAAGAAGATTTATGAATTTAGAATTTTGAGCAAAATGCACCCTAATTTGTAGAGAACTATTTCAAGGGTACAAGAACAAAATCCATTGAGATAAATTTCCTTTATTTCTTAAAATTACAAGAACAAAGTGCAAGATTTTTTTTCTTACTTGCATCACAATTCAAGATTCAAATTTCATTCAAGTTTCAATTCTAATTCAAAGAATTCAAATGGTGGATAATGAGAATATAATCAAAGTCATGATTATGGATTGAACATGGAAAGGCTAAGTAAAGTTCAAATGAAGATGGGAAGAGAAATATATTATTGGAGAATGTATCATTACAAGAGTATTCAAAATTTCAAGAAATTCCCATTGGCATTCATACAAACATCCATTCAAATTTACAAAGTTCATCATGATTCATTTAAAGGATCCATCTTTGGATTTTATCAAGATTCAATTTTCTTTGCACTTTCAACATTGTTTTGTTCCAAAGTTCATTACAAGAATACATCACCATTCATATCTCATTACAAAATTATATTCACAAAGCATTAAAGTACAACCAGAAATTACTTGGTGTAGATCATATTCAGACAGTTGCAAGTTATCATGCAATAGCAATAGCACTCTCATTGATGGAAGCATATTCGTTGAGTGTGCAGCATGAGCAAACAACTTTTCAAATTTTGTATGCAAAGCTTGGCCCTGATGACTTGCGAACACAGGACACGGCAGCTTGGCTTGAGTATTTTTTATCCAAGGCTTTTGAATAGCAAGAAGCTGCTCGAAATGGTACAAGAAAACTTGATGCATCAATAGCTAGCAAAGGCCAACTAAGTGTGCCTGATCTTCTTGACTACATTAATCTTAATCAGCCCCAAAACTTGTTCAAATCAACTCCATAAAACTGTTAAACTTGTCCACTATACTGCTGCCCAAAACCAACTCTACCAAACCTGCATATGTTGTTCAAAAAAGTCCAAAAACTGCACCATATCAGTTCAAAATTTACACAAAATGTAGCAAAATAAAACTGAAACAAAAAAGCAATGAAACAGTGCCTAAAATTGTTCAAAACTTATCCCATTTTCCCCTTAAAACCCCATTTTGTTCTACTATAAACAAAGGCTAACAGCAGAAGAAAAGGATACGAAAAAATCTCTCTTAAAACTAAAAACCCGTTCCATATTCATCCTTGATTCTCTAAGAGAAAAATAGAAAAATATCCTCCTCCTCTCCATCAAACTCACCATCGGTACACATATCTTTCGTCAAGCACATCAACACGTAAAAAACAAATATAAGAATTAGAGGAAGAAAAGAAGGTTATGATGTCAAAAAACCAGAATTCATAGCAGACAAGGAAGGAGTAACTAGAAATACTCACTACCAGAAAGAAGGACTTCAATAGGTATTGATTCTTTCCACTATTCTCACACCTCTGTGTTTGCATATTTTATGTATCAGTTATTGCGTGATATCTGTTGTTAGTGCATAAGAAAACAAGAGAAAATTATGTGAAATAATTTTTGTTGTTGTTAGTGCTTAAACGAAAAAAACAACAACATAATGAACACGAAATCCGCAGAACAATAATCATGAACAAATTAAAACTGAAACTCAAGATTTTTGCTTTGTTAGAGAGTGAATCGCAAAATACAGTAAGAGAAAGAAACCTAAAATGATAGAAGCAGTGTCACCATATTAGTAGAACCTTACCAGTTTGATTCAAGCAGATCCATATCTCCTACACCACCTATTTTGGCTGCAATTTCTTCTCCCATTCGGAAATCTTCCCGTCGTTGCAACCCTTCATCTCCCTATCTAGTCCAATCCATTGCTTGCAGAATCATCACCAAACCTCCACAACACAAATTGTAAACTTATCAATCAACCTCACTACAAATCACACTCGACCATAACCCATAATAAACTGCTTACACTACAATAACCCTAACACAATAACAAAAACAGAACAATAGCATGCGATGAAATCGAAAAAACAAAAACTTCAACACCTACCAGCAAATCAAAACGAAGTAAAACACGAGAACGATGTTGAAGAAGATGGAGGAGAAGAAAAAGTGAAACGAACGTGTTTCTGATGAGTCGAATCAGGATGATAATCAAAGCGGAAATCAGTGATTTGTGTGTCTCTCAGGAAGCTATTATTGGAGATTAATAAAGCTGCGGAGAAATTTCTTGAACAATTAGCTTTGGAAGCTTTTGCATGTTGCGCTTAGGATCGGAAGAAGTATTTGAGTTACAATCACTCATCCCATGTTGTTAGTAAGCAAAAAAAGATTTGACTTTCTGTCTGATTTTGTTCTCGAGAAAGTGAAAGCTGAGGGTGCATTAAGAGAAACAATCTCTCAAGGAGATAGAGGAAGTTAGGAAATATAAAAAAAGATAATTGATAATCTAATTTTGTACTTTTGTTTAATCTGTGAATTCCCCTTCCCAAGACCAACCAGCGGCACACCTTTCCTTAAGGTTACAAGACTTTTTCTCTTTTCAAATTCCAACCGGGTCAGTCTATTGGGCTTGTTGGCCCAATCCTCAACTCGTTTTCCCTACTACACCTCTCCCTGTTTTTTAATTTTGTTTAGAAAAATAATGTTGTTTGGGCCTCACCCTTATCCCTTAAGCCCATGCGAAGTTCATGTCTTCCCACCTCCCATAATTTTGCTTGCACCTTTGTTTTGATTAGGTTATTTTATTTTGCTATTTTTCCTAGTTTAATTTCTTAAAATCAATTAAATAAATCTTGTAGTTTTTTTATATTTTATTTATTAGATTAGTCTTAAAATTAATTTAGTAATATTGTGATTTTTAATAATGTTTTAGTTTAATTAACATTTTTAGTTAATTTGTTTAGTTACAATTTTTTGCTTGATTTTCTTTGTCCCTCTAATTAGTTTCTTATTGATTATTTTGTCATTGTTGTTTATTATTCGTTTGAATTTATTTGATTAATTTTCTTAGTTTAATTTATTTATTTTCTTTTAGTTAATTAGGTCAAAACCCTTTCTTCATAACAAAAATATTTTCGTCTCTTTTCGTATCATTTTATTTTTGTATATTACATTTACATTTTTTGTACATTATCGTTCAATTCAATATGGTTGTAATAGTAACTTAGGTTTAAATTACTTGTCTTCCCTCCATTTGTAAACTTGTCTCCCCCTCATTCTTGAAAAGCTCTGCAATAGTGTAGAATTTTAATTTCTGCAATTTACTGTTTTTCTTTATACTGTATAGTAATTAGGCGTGTATGATAAGACATAAAATCAGCAGTTAGATAACCATAAACTTCAAGATAAAATAACCGAAAATAAAACACTTTTCACACACGCACCTCTAGGGTAACCTTGCTTGTTGCCTCGGAAAAACAGTCATGTCCCTCGAATATGGGATGCTTTAGAAAATCCCCTCGATAAAAAAATATTGTATCCCCTTGATGACCCTTCGATGTTGTCTTCCGTAAAACGATCTTAGTCCCTTCCAAAAATTGCTAAAGCTTCTCATAAGTTGCCTTCTATGATTGTACGATGACCCGCGCCTGTCCCTCACATCCAAAGATATGGCTTCTTATCAATCAATGGTAAGGTAGCAATATCTAAATGAGGAGGAAAAGAACAAAAACGTTTTGAGTAGGTAGGACGCTCGTAGTTGCTTTCTTACAAACTAAAACCATCTCCGCACTCACACTTTCAAAACATCTTTCCAAAAACAAACATCTCTTTGAACTATTTTCAAAACCAACACTTTGTATACATTCTTATAGAGACAAGAATCATTACAAAGTTTGCCGAAACAAAGGTGTTTTTCAAAATATTTTCAATCTTGCACCAAACACAAACACATTTCAAACAAAGCATTTTCGAAGTGATCAAGCAACTAAGAGCTCGTAGATAACTACAGATGAAAGGGTGTTAACACCTTCCCTTTTCATAACCTACCCCCCGAACTCAAGATAATTCTCAAAAGGTATTTCCTGTTCTTTTCACCCTTTCCTTGATTGGATAAAAGAAAAGTCGGTGGCGACTCTTGCTATCCGCAACAATTGAGATAAAACTCAAAACACCAAGTCAGTTCTTCCATTGTATTACAATAGAAAAGTATCATGGTAAGAATAACAAGATGTCAACCTAAAAGTGTTTAAAACAAAAGCCAACAGGCGCACAAAAAAATAAGATTGGTTTGTGTTTTTTACCTTGAAAAAGAATTTTGGTTCATTAAAGATGTTTTATGATTTTCCAAGAAGAAGTTTTAGTTTTAAGATGCAATGTGCAAGGAAAAGAAAATAACTAAGGGAGACTATCCTAATCTCCATCCCTAATGTTATCATATAATGATTGATCCTAAGGTTAAGTTTTGAAAAGGGAAATTTCTATCCTAGTGAGCATACATGGATTCCTATCCTAATGTCTAGCTCGCAAGCTATTCTAAACGAGCGATCCTGAGGGAGCATGGTAAATGCCAAACAAGTGAGAAAACAAGTGCTTTGGAAAAAGCACACAATTGGGGTATTATGACTCAGGGGATAAGGGTATGAAGAGAAAATACTTTAGCTAAGGGGAGTGGATCACCCGAAGCAAATAAGAGGGAGACATGTGAAATTAAAAAAAGGTGATGTCCAAAGCGACTGAGAACCTAACCAAGATATAAAGGATCAAGGTACGCGACAAAAGACAATATGAATGATCACAGAGTGTCAGCATCGGCTAATGCAAACTCCTGATAGAGCATGGGGGTTTGAATGCAAAACCCTTCGCCACTAGAAAAACTCGATACATATGATCTCCACGACTCTGAAGCATCGACGTACCACGTGAGCTAAGGATGACATTGACTAGAATATGCGGGGGTCGATTACAGACCCTCCCTGCTCGCCTCCTTTTGAGGACTTTTCATCTGTAATATAATACAGGCACAAATATAAACACACGTGCATAATACCTACTTTAAAGGTAGGATTTTAAAGAAACACAGATAGCATACAGAAAATGGTGCCTGCTACAGGACTTTAAACAGTGACTTCGAGCGCACACTCTTTTTTTCTTGCTTCCTACTTCACATGATTTCTAGAAAGCAATAAACGTCCCTACTATACATGATCTCTAGAAAGCAGTAAATGCTAAAATGAGATAAACAAGAGAAAATACCAAACGAACGAAAGTTTGTAGCACAGCAGAGAAACCCAGAAAACTTTGAGTAAGCTTCACCAAGAAATATAAAAGAGTTAGAAATCAAATGCTCGGAATAAGCGTTGAAGCATCATCGATGTGGAAATAAATCATAATCGGGATCTCGAGCATATCCGCATATCACATAATAAACCTAACAGAGAAAGTCATTTGCCTCTTCAACATGCCTAAAATCCCAAGCAATATGTCATAAGTTCCGCAAGTTATCAACCGAAATAATCCTCAAACATTTCATATCGCCAAAGTCACATCAATATTATATCACTAAAAATTAATCACAAAAAAGTCAAGGAAAACGATGACAAAACTTTCAATTAAAATGATGACAAAACTTAAATTGCTGAGCTTTTAAGTTTCACGATATTTTCTGATTTAATATCCTTTTGCAAATTCCTCTTCACGTCTAATTTCCTTTATATTTTTATTTTCTAATTTAAATATGCAGGTTGTCGGTTTGTGTTGGGGACACTTTATAAAATATATATCCAAGTTATGCTACATATAGACTGAATGTCATACCCTTGCTAAGGCTGGCTTGCAGCTCTCTTTTTGGTTCAGCTTCA